ATATTTAGCAGAAATGATTATGGTTTCTGTGTCTTTACAGGTCTGCCTAAACAAAAAAGTGGATCACATCACCCCAATGCTAAAATTCTTACACTGGCTCCTGATTTCTCAGAGAATATGTGACAGCCTGAGTACTCTCTGAATATTGTTCATACCCAAACTTACTGCTATGACTCCAATGCCTTTTTAAGTTATGTCTAACAACTGTGGAGAGAGCCAAGCGTTTCCATTTGGAACGCCCCTCTGATAGTTTGGCGGTACACACTAGTGGAGTGAGGCGGCTGACAGCTCATCAGCACTTCAGCAGAACATCTCTATGCATCCAGGTGGATCTGCTGTGTGTTACTAGCCCTGCTACTGTGAGTCCTAGTCCTGTTGCTGTTTTGCCTCTAAAGCTTTTCGGTCAGGGCTAAAACTTTGTGTGCCGCCAAGCAGAGGTTTGACGTGCCGCTGTGCATTTTGTTTGGGTTCCTTTGTGTAGATTGGTGGAAAAACGCAGACTGGAGTTTTTTTTTCCTATTTATTTTAATTTTTTTCTTGCTCAAGCTGCATGGATTGAACTCATCAGCAATATAACCTGAACTGGATTTATTTGTTAGTCCCTTCTTTTTTTAACTGAATTGAATGCAGGGGACATGATTTACTGTTAAAGATTTGAAATTCTATCATTGTATAATTATTAATATTTTTCTTTCATGTTTTAATACATTGAAGTCTTATGTTCTACATTAATAAATAGGGTGATGAGCACTATTATGTGTTTAGATGCTTTGTGTGGTTTATGCACTCCAAGCTAAATATATACAAAACAAATGGAACTCGTATATGTCAGAAGAGAGACTTGACTGGCACCCCGGTCTTTAATTATAGGAAACCATCACAAGTAATTCAATTCAATTCAATTAGACTTGTATATTTCTGTTATTCTATAAATCATTGAATGGTCTAGCTCCAAAATACATTACAGACATGCTTTCAGCGCATCTACAACCCAGACCTCTCAGCTCTTATGGTTCGTCTCTAATTCATGTGTAATTGTGGCCTAGTCAAAGTCCAGATCTAGCTCTGGTTCAGTATCTGCGACTAGAGGTAAAGGCATTATTGTTGCTGTATTCAAAAAAACTAGAAGAGAAAAACCCTTAAAGACTTACAGCTGTAATCGAAGACAAGGGAAGTTCTTTGAAATATTGACTCAGGAGAACCGAATATCAATGCACTAAATATTTTCATACACAATTTTCAACACATTTTGAAATAAATCTTTCACAATTTTTAGCACTGAAATTGTTTATCTGAAGTACTAATCATCTAAAACCCTGCAGAATTATTTTCATAAATTCTCACTCTTCCCAGCATCTTCTTTCTCAGAGTAGAGGAAATAACTTAATTGGAAACAATTTCAATGTATTTCTCCACCCACTGCCCCCTTTTAGAACTCCAAAGGTAAACATATAGGTGGAGACAAAGTTCATAAGTGATTTTAAATAACATACATATAGATTATATACCATTTATGTCAGTAAATCCCTGTAGTTATTACCTTTAATAACAAAGGTATTGTTTTTGTATGAGCGTGTGACCACAGCTGTGATTTGTCGAGCATCTACATCTGTCTAGAAGTGGGGAAGGTTCCTTGAGTTGATAGTTCGGCATATTTGGTTCACTGGCTCAATGCTTATCAGGTTTTGCTCCCATTCCAACAGCTCCTGCAGGTCAAATGACTGGGAAGTGCGTACTTCGCTAAGTGGTCTATCGATCAGTCAGCTGAGCCTGTGAACTGATGGACTGTGCTGCAGCAGACGTGACCGGCGCTTGGCAGGAGGGTAATGGCTTTTAATACAATGCATTCCTTCACAGATGAGAACTGCGACCTGGTTGAAGGAAAGGGCCTCATTAGAGTTGGGATTTTGTGTCAATGCAAGCACAAGTCCCAACTGTGGAGGGCTGTATGGTATGGCTCAAACCCAGAAATTAATAGGGAAGTCGTTTGAATTAAGATTTCATTCTGATGGAGATTTTCCCGAACTCAAAAGTAACCTACAATGGAAGACCATTTACAGAGAATATTCTGTGACCAAGTACAGTTTGGCCATCTCCATATGAAGCTTCCTTCAGTGTCTACGTCTGCATCTCGTTGTCTCCCAACTGATCCTCCCCGTTTTCAATTTTACTTATTTTTGCCATTTCTTATTTGAATGATGTCATAATCCCTGTTGTTTTCTTGCATGAACATACTGGGATACAACACAAGTAAACAGTTCCTTTAGCGATAACTTTGTGGTTTATCCTGCCTTGGAGTTGCATCAATGACTGCCGTTGGAATGGATCAATTATTAATTGATATTTCTTTCTGATTATGTAGGCCATAGCAACAGCATATATTATTAATAGTTTATTTTTGATTTCTGTTGATATCTGTATGTCGTAATTAACTTTAACTACACTGTGTTTAAATATGGTTTTACTTTCTTAATTCTAAACGCTTTCCACTAATATTATTATATTAACATTTCAGATATAATAAACCTGACAAAGTTACCTCAAAGAAAACAAATTTTTCAAAACGTTCACAATTCCAGACTCATTAGGTTAAAATTTTGATTATATTACAGAAAAACTCATTTGAGAATTAACATAACATTTTTAATCAATGTAAATCATAAAATATATATCAAGAGGAGTGTTGGCCTAGTGGGTTAGAGAGCGGTGAGCTTGTGCTCTGAGAAGGTTGCAAATACCCGATTCAATCCCTACTGCCTCCACTCTGGGTTCCTGACCAAGACCCTTAAACCCCGATTGCTCCCAGGGCGCCGCACAATGGCAGCCCCCTGCTCCCCACAGGGATGGGTTTAATGCAGAGCTAAATTTCTTGAATGTGAGATCAATAAGGTTCAATTCTTCTTATTATTTATTAACTAGTGATGTTATGAGATGAGCCGAGATATACATCTGGGTCATCCTCGATTTTAGTTATTAAAAAAAATACCTAAATTACATATTTCCATCCTTAAAAATAGTAAGTGTATTATATATGTTAAAGGTTAATAATATATTTCCTTAGAAAAATAAATGTTGTAAAATCCTTTTCCGGGAGCTAACTTCGGCTTTGGGTTTAAACATAAATCTAGTCCTTTTGAGTTTTCTGTTTTCCTTTCATGTTAACATTATGGTATATAATTGCATAATGTAAGGAAATAAACAATTAAAATGCAGATTAAACAATATGATCAGAAATTGACCAAGCCACTGGTTTCAGTTTTATTATTCCTATATTGTATTTTTGCTTTCTACAGTGCGGTTTATTGTTGAAAGTGGCGTTTGATGTGACTTTGTCTTTCAATCCAAGGGTTTTTGGTTCAAGCCCCAGCCTTGGCTTTTGAAGTTGTATTACTACTTAACCAGTATCATGGCCAAAGTGATAAATTTGTATTGGTTTGCCCTTTTACCAAATATACAGTAGATTAGGTAAAAACACTGCCAGATTAGATCGGATGGACACATAACTTCCAACCAAAATAAAACCAAAAATTTAGGAAAAACTGTTTTTTTTACATAGTAATGACTAACACCTTTCATGTTGCTCATGACCGGCCAAGTTGTACTAATTGCCACAATAATGACAGAAAAACAGTGAACCTTAAACAATTGTTCTCTTCTAAGAAATTTTACGCACATAAACCATGAGAAAATATTTATCATGCACACCAATTATAACAATAAAAAAAAAAAGAATTGCAAAAAAAAATAAAAAATCACAGATTATATTACTAACTATAGTTCTGCACTCCGCCAGTAGGTGGTGACATTTTCACATGAAGCATCCTAAAATGTGTGGATCATTGAAACAATTTGCCCAAACGGTTCAAAGCCTCATGAGGCTTCATCTCACCATCATTAATATCAACAGTCATTTATAGAACAATATATACCAAGGTACATAGGAAAAGATGGGGGTGTTACTCACCTTTGTTGTTGGAGGTGATGTTGATGCAAGCAGACAAACTCCCTTTCAGGTATCGAAAATTATATATAAATATATATATATATATATATATATATATATATATATATATATATATATATATATATATATATATATATATATATATATAAACTAAAACAATATAGAAGAGCGCTGAGAGAAGACTGAGGTGGCACAGCTGTTGATTGATCAACTAATTTGAGAACGCAGCTGTTGACCGATAAGAGGAAACTGAAAACTGAGCATTTCAAAATAAAACCCAAATAAAACTTTAACAGAAGCTTTAATCGGAACAAACTAAACGTGATATAGAAACAACTGACCGTGTTTTCTATGAATGCCATCAAATCAAAACATTTTGGAATTGCATAGAAACATGGATCAAATAAAAAATTGCACTTCCTGAATCCATTTCTAGAGATATTGTAACTTTTGGAATATTATTGAAAAACAAAACAATAGAACTCGGTTGTAACCTAATTTTGTGTTTATCAAAATTCTTTATTCATAAACAAAGAGTGTTGAGATAATCCCCAATCTTTTAAGTTTTCTTATCTGAATTATCGAGTTATATTTGAAATATCTTAAATGTATCGAATCATACGAATACAGGACTGAAATATTGATGGGTTTGCCCACCGATGTTCATCAATCCTAACATAAATCCCCTTGTTGCCATGTTAATAATTATTTCATTATTATCAGCCATTTTATTTTTTTGTTCCTTATCAATAATGCCTTGTACTTCCATTTTTGAAATCTGCCACTACTATGCCTTCCACAGATTTGTAATGTTGCTATGGCCTTACTTGTTTGTACTTACTTTGTTTAAATAAAGTAAATAATAAAAATAAAAATTGGAGCAAACAGGATTAAATTAAGTTTTACTAATTAGATTTTTTCCCCCAAATATGTCAGCAAATTTTATTTGTGCTGGGAAGCACAGTGGGGTTCATATTGGCAAAGACACCATAATGTGTTGTTGTTTTATTTGGCATAATACAGAAATGATGACCCATTTTATGTTTAAATTAATTTATTTCAACAATCAGCCCTCACACAAACACACACTCCCAACCAAATAAATCTCATTATTTTTACAAAACAAAAAAGTTTATATACAAAACGTAGCTATTTTATTCACAAAAAGGTAAATATATTAGTATAGATCCCCCCCACTCCAAAAAAAATAAAGAGTTATACAATGGGCAATTGGCACCTCCAAAAGACAGGCTTTATCACCAGCGTTGCATAATATTTCCTATTTGTAAAACTGACGACTAATTCAGGCACATTCTGTAATCCTCCACACTAGACTGCTACATTTTTAAAAACAATCCAAGCCAGGGATCCAGCCCCTTTGATCTTTTAAAGGTTGTTTTCTAAGAACTGGTCATTCCATTCTAAAAACCATGATTCAATTCACCTTCGATTGAAAGGTAGAGGTAAACGTCTCACACACACAAACACATTTCAGTGCAATCAGCGAAGGAAGCATAATTATAAAAATATACTACATGATGATTTCTTAAGACAAAATGAACTGCATTAATAAAAAGCAACATTGACACCTACTGGCTGTGCTTCTTAAAAGCAGACAAGATTCATACATTTACTTAAGAAAATAACAGGAAAAAAAACATCTCCACTTTAATCCCTTTGGTTACAGTTTTTGTTGGGGGTTTTTTCAGCATATTGATGATTCTTCATTTATCAAAGCAGGTTCGTTACATGAATTGTCTTCATGAATAGCCTGATCCCGCTGTGAAAGTGTACCAGTTGTCCCAGAGAATTTGATCATTTCTTTGAGGAGTTTGTTGTCTCAGTTTTTCTTCTCATCACCAGGGAGGAAGTAGGGGTTCTCGTGCCCTTCGACCAGATAGGAGTAACGGGACGTGTTTTTACCTTTGAAGGTCTTCATCTCCTCTGGGTTCAGCTCATACGATCCTGACTGGAATGCCAGCAGAAGTGTGGAGTGTTATTGTTTTTTATACAGCGATGATTTAACGTGCTTATACCCAAACACTCAAGTAAACCTAGTACACATACACCGATAACCCTACTGATTTAAGGGTATTGATGGAGCTAAATTCACTACAATCAGCATGGAGAACAAAGAAAATAGTCGATAACATTTCCCATACAACCAGAAACATCACCACCATTATGCATGCAAACATGCTGTCTAAATTATCTGCAGGGGGCATCAAGGGAAAAAGGTCTAAAAGCAAAGCTATACCTTACCTTTTTCCATCCTTTCTGCTTCAGGTGACACCCCTAAAGCAACACACTGTGAGTCAGGCAAAGCAGGGAGCAGGGGTAGGAACTAATGCTAATAGGACTGTATTTACATTCTGGATGAGTGGATTAAATACAATGCTGTGCAAAGGTTAAAAATGATCAGTTGTGTTTTAAACTCAGAGTGAAAAATAGGTTGTTGATTTCCAGGTAAAAAAAAACCCACTGAGGTTGTGTTTTTTTTGTTTTGTTAAAAAGCAGGGGATAGGAAGACACATCAACCAAATGTGGTTCAATTTAACCATTTATCCGGATGTTTTTCACTTGCAAATAATCAGGTTTGCATTTTTGGTTAAGGTAGTAGGCTATGTGACGGCAGTGATGCTGAAGCAGCTAAAGCTTTATTAAAAAAAAAGAAGAAGCAGCAAGAGACAGAAGCAAGTGTTTGAACTTACAAGGCCATTGCTTTGTCGCTTTTTGTCCACCAGCATGTTGGTGCTGCCCCCTTCTGTCATCTCTATGGAAGCGGCTGAGTCCCAGTTGGAGTTTGCACGTGGGATGGGGGTGATGCTAATGGGCCATGATTTGTTTAAGTCCTCAGAGTATGGACTGGTGTGGTGGTCAGGTTTGTTTCTTGAACATCTTCTCCTGATACATAAGGAAGAGCAAAGAATGAAAAAAATAAAAATAAAAAATAAATGTTGTTGTGCTTACATTTTAGTTAAGCAAATGTTTTTACTGTCAATTGTTTGCTTCCAATATAGTTTTTCAAAGTTAGATTTCTTTGTTTATTATCTAAAATACCCAATTGGTTTTCCAAAGGTCTTTGAAACCTTTTTTTTATGTAAATTAACCACTTTTCCTCTCTTCAGAGACTGACCATTTTGGAGATTATGAGTTTAGAAGAAAACAAACACAACATTCACTAAGTTTCCTAAGATAGCAAAAAAATCATGTGACTAAATTTATCGTTCTGGCTCATCATCACATCTCTGTGATTTCCAATGCCTTTTTCACAGCACCTCTTCTCCTTTCAATACAATCATCAACAATGTGTTAAAGAAACAGCAAAACCTTGCTGGATAGAAAGGTTGTCACATGGATAAACTAAACCATAAGATATTATTTTAAAACGCTTGCCACACATCTGATATTTATCTTGTTTAATTCATGTAAGAAGCAAAACAACAGCTGCCATAATGTCACTGTATTAGTGCGAAAACACTTAAACTGATACTATAAGGTAACAGTATCCAGTCTTAAGCTCTAGGAGTCTATACCCCTCTCATATATCCACCTTATCTGCCTTCCAAATGTTTCTATAAGCTGTGAGGGCATTTCTTGTCACTAGACCACTCAAAGATGTCAATTTTCCTATCTTTACCTTGATGTTTACTGTATATGTTCTTTTTTTATGTAGCCTATGGAGTTTTGGTTCAAAAAGCACTGCAGTTTAAAACTGCTCATAATTGACTCCGCCTTGACCAAAATTGATCTACATGATGTAACTCTGGTCATGATGCTCCATATGTCTTGTAAGCCATAAATGTGTTACATTTCTACAGTAAAGTGAACACTCTGCCTGGTCAAACACCATTGAAAACCTTGTTGCTGCAGCAGGATTATTTCTGGCAAGTCTGACATGAACACTTACTGTTGAAAATAACTTAGTTCAATCAACACAACTGTTGCTGTTATATACTTGCTCAGTGAGAGGGATTTCTTGAAGCAATCGGCCGGCTTTCCTGTGACCTTATTTCTATACGCAAACTTGAAGACATTGTTTGTAATTAAGAACCAAGCCATAGATTAATAGCAACCATGGATTTCTTTTTTGACCTTTTTTTTTTTTTACCAACATTGATTATTACTGCACAGATTAAACTGATTTGACAGGCAATGTTTAGGACAGGGAAGATTATAAGATCTTAAGAATTATTACTAATTAGCCTAAATACAGTAAAGGCTAATAAGCCAAGCAATTAAACACAGCTAATATCTTTAGAACGGTCTGAAAGTCATGTCTGATTTTCTTACCAGCAACAGTAAACCAGCAAAGCTAGAAGAAGGATGAGGAGAAGTCCTCCTAACACACAGGAGACGATCACCACTGCCAGTAATGATGCTGCAAAGACAGGAGAAATATTTAAAAAGATTTCCACAGCAGGATAAACATTCAGCTGCATTGTTTCTCTGATGCTAACATGATGAAAGACTCACAGTCATTGCAGTTGAAACCAGCATACCCAAATGGACATCTGAAAGAAAACAACTAAATTTACACTGGTACATTTTGCATTTACCAATGACTCCACTAGAGGGAGCTAGTACATAAAGCCCTGTGTGAAATATGTATACTCACGTTTGGCATTTGTCCCCCACTGCCTGCTGCCCACTTGGACAAGCTGCAAAAAAAAAAAAAATGACACAACAACTCAGTGACAATATCTTTTACTAGAGAGCAAACAAAGCTACAGTTTCAGGCTCTGGAGGCAACACAAGGGCTATTACTAGCAAACACACAAAAGGATATTATGTATTTCTTGGGAAAGAATCTGTTAGCAGAATTTGTTTGAAATGCATTCAATCATGGATTTCCAACAGCTGATCTCATTGGTCACATCCCTGCACGATCTAAGGCAAAGTGGTGATTCCTCCTCATGTTACCAGGGTAACGTCCAGTTAAAAAGAAATAGATTAGAGAGATAAATGAAGATTGGGTCAAGGGTCTGCAGAGAGAAAAGGCTACAGCTCTTGACCTTGCCTGTGAGTTTTACTCCCTGTTGTTTCTTTCCCTCCTTCCCACAGAAGTGTTTCAGTGGGGATAAGGAAGGTTTGTTACTAGTCTCTAGACTGTCGATCAGCTAACATTTAACTTTTTCCACTTTAACAGTCTTTACAATTGAATGTATACTGTGTCTGTTCCTCTAAATTACCATCAATTGTTGGATAAGTTAAGAGCAAAATAATGTCAACCAAATAATGTGTTCACAAAAGCTGGTCAATGAGGTGATACTTTGATAATGATATTAATGTGGCTTTTGTTGATGAATAGCCAGAAGGCCGGTAAAGAGAAGCTAGGAGAACTTCATGGTTATTGTGGTTCAGTGACGGACATAATGGACCAGTGGAAGATGTCCTGGTTAGATGAGATAAACTTTAAAGTTCTTGGCTGGCATGCAAAAACTGTATGTTTGACCCAAAAGGACTGCAAAAAGTTCAGTTAAATATTATCTGCATGGTGAAACATGGTGGCAGCACCATGGTGTTGGGCTTTCCTGCAACAGGCACAACTAAACTGGTTAATTGTGGAGGACAAATACATGGTATGCTGTTAGAAGCTAAAGAAGTGTATGGAAACAAGACAATGTAAAAGCCATAAAAAGTCTAACATATTTGAGACAGAAGAATCAAAAGGTACCTTTACAGCTGGTGGTGGAGTAGACTATGGAGATGTATCCCTCTTTACAGGAGCAAGAAGCTTGGCCTTTCTCATTTGTGCACTTTGTACTAGAGGCCTCACAAGGTAATGGCTCCACCTTACACAGATCCGTTGCTGAAACAGAGGAGGTAAAAAGAAAAATCTTAAGATAATGATCTGGAGTAACCTAGAATTCTTAGGGATTGCATAAGGAGGTAGTTCTTGCCTGTGTATGTTGCCCTGCTCAGAAGTCCTGTGGAGTTTCCTAGAGCATTTTTAATGACCTCATCAAAAGATTCTTGAGTAGCAGGACTGTTTTCAAAGATGTTATTTACACTTGCTACCACACTTCCAGGTCTGGGGAGGATGAAAATATCAGAAGATGAGTTCTGGTATTTTACAATACACAGAGACAGCAAGAGAAAGACAGAAAACTTACTCTAGCCGAACAACTTCTGATCCTCTATATCCAGGCTCATTTCTTAGGAGATTTCTGAGCTACAACAGAGAAAAGTCCTTTTAATTAGCAAAAAAAAGATAACCTGTAAGAGCAGATTCATTGGTTCATGATCTAACAATTCACCTCTGCTGAGATATTTGCTGCTGTCCTATGAAAGATGTTGGATGACCTGTTGCTCATTTGATTCTCAAATGTTAGAGACAGGATATGAAGCCTTCCTGGGAATATTTGGGCTGCAAAGACAACCAAATACGTTTATCAAGGAATTTTTCCTTGCCAGGTAAGGAGGTGTTTGTATCAAACTCATTTGGGGTATTACCTGGAACACATTGTCCATTATGTAGAAAGTTGCCAGTGAGACATTGGCAGGTGCCATTGAGGCAGATGCTTTTAGCAGGACATTTGGTGGAGGAACAATCTGGGGAGAGAGATTCAGAAAACAGAATACTTTAAAGATTTGGGTCTTTTTCTTTCAGGTCACAAGAGGATTAAACAATAATTTTAGCACCATTTGGATTCAGTCTATCAATTAAACGATGTCTAGTATAAGGCTAGAAAAAGAGGTATGATGCTTCTTTGTACCAATCTAGATCTCAAGATCAATCCAGCCATCAAGCTGTACAACTCCTCACTTGGGGGAAGGAGGAGGTGATAGGAAGTGGGACAAGGGTCAGCACCCCCCTCCTTGGACATCTTATGCAAAGCATTACCTATTGTCACTCAATAGTCTTCTCTCTCACTATGCAATAACAAAATAACACATGCCAACTACTGTGTAGTCTTTTTATTTTTTTTTAACTTATTTATAAGTTGAGTAAATCTCTGCAGCACAAGTGCAATAATCCAAGTCAAAATGGAAAGGGACCTAAAGATTATTTATCAGACTAGTGGCCTTTATTAAGGTATTTTTTAAAGTAGTCAGACAGGAAACTGGATTAAAGAGAGAAGACATTTGGCAAAATTCCCATCCTGGAACTTGACCCTGTGATGGTCGCATCAAGGACCAAAGCATCTTTACATGGGTCACATGCTGAACCTCTACACCCATTCCACGCCCCACAATTATCTAATATCTCAACAAATCAGCTGGCATATTTCAATGTTTTTAAAACATCCAATCAAGTTTGCTAAACTCCTACCTGATGTCACTCAAGACGTATATTTTGTCACTGTGGGACAATAAAAGGTGTTTCTATTTTCAGACCAAATACAGCCTTTTTGTGTGCCAGGTAGAACATTTCCAAAATTACAATCAAATGCATAACTACTGCTTACTGAAAGAACAGTGGCAGCAAAAATCTAAACTATTATACATACTGTAAGTATATATTGTATTTTGCAAATAGCATAATAAAAGTATAAAACTTCTAATGTGTGTATATTACACTAGAACTTTGACAGACAAACACACCTTTTCTAATCAAGCTAACCTGATCAACTGCTCTGACTCTAAATGGCAAAAAATCTTTGTTGAAGTTGTGCTTCTGTGCTCAAACTCTAAGGCTATGGACAGTCAGACACAAAGGAAATGGTACAAACCAATAACAGGGATCAGCGTGAGCGGAACCTCTGTGGAGAGGCTGCTGCTGGTTCTTCCTGTTGTGAGAAGGGTGGTGACAACCTCTGTGGCTCCACTGGTGGTGGTGTTGGTGTCCAGGGTGGGAATGGTGTTCATGGTTGAATTTGTGATTATAGAACTTATAGTGGTGGTTTGATCCATAGTGTTGTTGGTAACTAAATCATCAAAAATTAAACCCAGTCAGTTCATCAACATATTGACAGATAAGCCAGTATCGAGACACATCTAACAAATGATTAACGCAATCAGAGCATGCTCCTAGAGAGTGGTTATTTCTACATAATACATTCCAATTCCATGTCCAATTTTCTTCCCCATAACAGACTCATGTCCTACAATTTTGCATCAATCAAAACAGTCCGGTTCTAATCTTTTCACCTCCTAAAAAAACAATTTGTACCACTTTCATATATGATACAATAATACTAACTAGATCTCTGATCATCTGCAGCCTGAAGAGTTATCCTGCATTTTCTATGACTTTATAGTCATTTATAGCATTATAGCCAGGGCTCCCAGTACACATCCTTACAGACTTCTCTACAGCAGCAGCAGTCACTAATTGTTTTGCAAATGTCCGCTGTTAATAGTCACACTGTTTTTTCTTATCCTCTGTCACTGCTAATGATGGGACCATTACGCTGTCAGCTCTCATTGCTCGAGAGTTTAATAATGACACAGAGAAAGTGACATCCACTATTAGGTTTTTGTTTGTTGTTTTAAAACAAATCTTTATTAAACACTTCTAGTGACATTCATCTTTATATCTGTCAATACTGTGCTACGGTGACATCTAGATTCTTCTTCTGTGCAGCGAGGTTGTCTTTATGTTTTGATTGCAGCTACATATATTTATTGGTATGAAACACTAGGCTGAAGAGATTGGATTCAATATAAAAATTGGACTCAACTATCAAGACCTTTTCTGTGAACGTACCTCCTCAGTTAGAGGAATAGACATTGCTGCTGTTAAAAAGGTTAGGTTTACCTGCTGAGTGTACTGTTGAAGGACTGTTGGTTGTATTGCCACCAGTGGTAGAGTTGCTCATGCCTGGGATGGTGCTGGATGGCTGAGGGCTTGAGGTGAGTGAAGAGGATGGATTGACAGTTGATGTAGGACTCTCAGAAGCTCCAACAGAGCTTGTATGTGTGGTAAGAGTTTGATCTGATGTAACCAAACTTATAGTTGTTGTCATGTTGTTGGTCTGTGGAGTGGTGCTAGTAAAAGTTGAGTTGTTTCCCATCTCTGTGGTTGTTGAAGTGATTGTATCGTTGTTTGAGGTAACCATAGTTACACTGGTGGATGTGCTTTGTGGACTAAGAGTAACATTGTCACTTGTAGCTGTTGTTGTGACATTGTTGGTGAATGTAACAGGTGCGCTTGTAGTTTTTTCAGCAGTTGGAGTTGTAATTGGCACATTATAAGTGGTGTAGTTGTTTGTTGTTGTGATCGTTGTGTCATTGCCTAGCGGTGTAAGTGTCACAGACATGGTTGTATAGTTGTCTGTTGGTACAATCGACCCATTTGTAGTCATGCTATTGATTGTCGGGTTGATTGGAACAGTTGAGTTGTTGTTGTTAGTTGGTGTGATCGGAACTGTTGTTTTGTTGTAACTTGTTGGTATGATTGGATCTGTTGTAGTGCCATTGTTGCTTGTCTGAGTGATTGGAATTGTTGTTGTTTCATTGTTGCTTGTCTGAGTGATTGGAATTGTTGTTGTTTCATTGTTGCTAGTGGGTGTGATTGGAATCGCTGTTGTTTCGTTGTAACTTGTTGGTATGATTGGATCTGTTGTAGTGCCATTGTTGCTTGTCTGAGTGATTGGAATTGTTGTTGTTTCATTGTTGCTTGTCTGAGTGATTGGAATTGTTGTTGTTTCATTGTTGCTTGTGGGTCTGATTGGAATCGCTGTTGTTTTGTTGTTGCTTGTAGGGGTGATTGGAGTAGCTGTAGTTTCATTGTTACTTGTTGGTATGATTGGATCTGTTGTAGTTTCATTATTGCTTGTCTGAGTTATTGAAATTGTAGTAATTTTATTGCTTGTTGGTGTGATTGGATCGATTGTGGTTTCATTGTTGCTTGTTGGTGTGATTGGATCCACTGTAGTTTTGTTGTTGCTTGTTGGTGTGGTCAAATCAGTTGTAGTTTCATTGTTGACCGTTGGCGTGATTAAAATATCTGCAGTTGTTGTATTACTTGATGTAGTGATTGATGCATCTGTAGTCATAACATTGCTCGTAGGTGTTGTCGAAGCTGCTGTAGTTTCAGTGCTGCCAGCCAGTGTAGTCATATTGTTGCTCATCGGAGTGACTGAAGCTAGTGAAGTTCCGTAGTTGCTTGTAGACATGATTGGAATATTTGTAGTTGTGTCATTGTTTGTTTGAGTAGATGGATATTGCGTCAAATTTTCGGTGGTTAGGGTGATTGAGGCACTTTCAGTGGTATCACTGTACGCTGCATCGTTGTTTGTTGGACTGAAAACTGTAGTTGGATTGTTGCTTGAAGCTGTGATGGTAACATCTGTTTTATTTGTTGTTGGGGTGACTGAAGCAGCGGTAGCCATATTTTTGCTTGTTAGGGTAATTGGTATATCTGTTGAAGTGTTATCAGTGGTTGGCATCAATGTGCTAATTTGTGTGCTGTCGATTGGAGTAGGTGCAGCAGTTGTAGAAGGTGAACTGCTCTTCTCTGCCAATGTGGTTCCTCCAGTGGTGAAGGCTGTAGGAGAGTTGCTTAGGCTTCCTGTGGTGATGTTCTCAGTATTGTTCCTGTTAACTGAATACGCTGTGGTTATCTTAGGAGGAACTGATGATGTCTCTAATGTTTTTACTGTGGTAATGTCCAAAGCTACAGTACTTTTTGATTCTGTTAAGAGATTTATGGTTGTGTTGTTGCCATTCTTAGCACTGTAAGTAGTTGTAGTCACGTTAGGTGCCTCCGTTGTTGTTGTTCCTGCAATGGAAACAGAAGCATAAAATTGTCTTTTACATTGTCTTCGCTGGTAACAGTTAAGTAAATCTTTTAGTTAAGCCTTAAAGGATAGCCACTACATCAGACACAGTTTTTTATCCCTCAGACACTTAGCCAAACTACTACCCTAAACCTTACCCAGAAACAAATAAAGGAATACTAAACACATATTTTTAGGACAGTGGAGAGCTTTTCTGTATTACAACACTGTAACACTAACTTGACTGTAAGTTTTCTGTCTGCTATTTATGTCTTATTTTCCAATAGGAAAGGCATAAACCAATCAGAAATTCTTGTCTGCATTCACTATTGTTTGTTTGGAATGGCCATTTCTTTGTCACTGGAGATTCAGCCTAAGGCTGGAGAATATGGCTTGAAAATCTAATCTTCCATTTTTTTCAAAGCAAATTTGATTAATCAAATTTTTTTAATGATAAAAATCCCAAATGACAAATACTGCAGTACTAACTGTATAACATTTAGTAAGAGAGAACTTCTTCTGTTTAAGGTCAGAAAGGATAAGATTACCAAAGTAAGTTCTATTTTATACCTCCCAAAATAAAAGTTCTATTATTATTATTATTATTATCATTTATTATTATTTTTTTTTTCATTGCCTAAAATTCCAAAGTTAATTTTCTAAGTGTTTTGTTGATCATTTTGGGTTGTCCTTCCATAAGGTTCCGATATAAGTTTCACACTTTTCTTCAGTCATACAAGAATTCGAAGTGATTTTGAAACTAATTCTCTAAACTTCAGCTTTGGATTTATCACACCAAAGGAAATATATCTGTCATAATCTCTTTGTTCTTAAGTCAATTTCTAACCAACAAAATATATTTTTAAGCTGCTTTTGGAGGAATCGCTTCTCCTTTGAAAAAGAAAGAAAATAATCTTAGGAATATATATCTTTCTTTCTCATAACACTGGTGTTTAGAAAAAAGAAAGACATCAGATTCTCCTAACTGACCTAAAAAGGAAACATTTAATGCAGTTTAATGTCAGGCATAAAATGGCTGTGTCTCTTTTTATATTGTTTACATTGATATTTAGTTTAAACTGTAAGTAAATGCATGCAACATTTTCATTTATAATCACAGACAGTAGCAGAAACTTTGCTTCCTTTGATGTTTTTAAAAGTTGACAAAAGATTGGCTCAGCAGATAAGACCAACAGAAAATGACAATCGACTCTCAAGTTCTGCCAACGTCACCTGCAGATGGGAGCAGCCTCCTATTTGTTCAGAAGGCAGTTCCAATTTAGTCTGCACCAGCTCTATGTTTTGTATTTATGGAGAAACAAAATGAGTACCGGGGCTGCATGAGCTGCTCTTCAGCAGCAGGGGGTCTTTGATAACAGCACTGCTTTAACCTTGTTTGTGTCCTGTCCTCATCTGCATGCACTTAAGGAAGCGAGAGAGAGAGAGAGGAAAAAGCTAGGTGGACGACTCAATTTTCTCAAAGGAAGCGGAGAAAATATGAAGACTAATATCAGATCCTGAACCTGATCTGATTATATTCAACGACTCCAAGGCCTCATTTGAGTAAACATTTTTATCACTTAGTGACCAATATTTACTCAGAGATGAAAAGCTAGATGCTGCCCACAGTGACAGCACATTAATATAGACATGACACACACTTGCACCTCTGTAAACAAATATATGTATGTTCTTAAAGTTAATTTAACAAGCAAGGCAGAATGAGTAAATAAAGATTAGTGGAAAAAAGGTTACTTAAGGGGAACATCATGGTACAGGACTGATGCAGCAAAATACATGATAAATCTGAGACCCACTATTTAGGTCTGAATTTAAATATAGTAAACAAGCCATAGCGGTTAACATTAAATGGAGATTAAAAAGAAAACCTATTCAATTATACCCACTTGGCCATGCTTTGATTAGTCCGTTGTATTTTTTATCTTAAATTCCTAAGGACCTGTGTGTCCCTTATGTGAAACTGACTTACTGCAAGAACACCGTAAGCTATGTAACTTTTTTTTTTATCTGCCTTAGAAAATAAACACATTTTGACCATTTTCTTAATGGCTAACATTGTTATTTACTCTGTATCTTGTAGATAAGGTTGGGGTCTGTGAATCATATCTGTTTCAGGTGGTTTTCGTCAATATTAGGAGGTTTCAGTAGACCTCAAGGTGTACACATTCCTCTTAAAATGTCCTGTGAACTGAAAAATAGCCAGAGCAATAATTCATTTCTTTTGACAAACATTTTGACAAACATCTTGATATATTCAAGTAAAAAAAAACAAGCAAATCTGATCAGGAAAAATGTGGAACAATAACAAGACAAAAGCCAGTCGCCTTAAAACTTATACTGACTGAGACACCTTTAGGGCCTGATTCAGCATTCAGTCTGTGGGAGTTCATGTCTGTCACGTATTATAGTGAATAGGATTAAGCTGAAATAAAGTGCAGCTGCATGATTATAGTGATATTTGCACTTCTTTATATTTAAGCCAAATAAATTGTTTGAAGACAGCATATGGCTAAGAGTATTTTTTTGGATACTAAACGCCTCAGAGTTCACACAACTTCCAGAATAAAAAAGTTTAGAAACTACCAAGAAATGACAGCAATTAGGAAAAAAAGCATAATAAAAGGCTGCTCAGCAGGATATCCCAGATCTGCTTAATCACAGTTTTGCTGTAAGGGATTGAGTCTTAATAAATATTGACTGCACAGTTAAATATTATAAAGGAAAAGTTACAAGAGATATACAGGAATGTTAATCAACAGTGGAAAAATTATGATCATTTAGATGAATTGAAAGTAAAGTATATACACATATTATAACATTCTGTTAGAAAGCTGAAGATGAAAGGGGATTTCATTTTCCTGAATCACAACGAGTCCAAATTAATAACATAACGGTGGCATTGAAACAACAAAACACCAAAGCTCAGAACTAGATCAAACAAAAACAAAAAAAGAAAATAAGAGAAAGAGAAAAGGCCTCAAAATCTGGGAGATTTTACAGACAGTGGGTCAAAAATCAAGACTTGACATCCTGATAGATTCCTACCAAAAAAAAAAAAAAAGGCCGAATGATTAAAGTTATTCACAGGGACTAAAGGTCTGCACACCCCTAAGCCACCAAGATTGTTCACTTTTGATTGTGTTCTTAACTGATGTTTCTTTTTTTATCAGATACGGCTTTATGGGTCAAAATAAATGTTTAAAAAGAATTGAAATCATTACTTTTTTTAATAACAAAAAAAAACCTTTTTAAAAAGAGAAAAGAAGAATGCTACATTTACTAACATAATTCTGAAGGTGACTTTTTTTTTCTTATGAATGATTTATTTAACTAATAGGTAGAAACTAAGAGAAAGAATTAATCAAAATTATTCAAATACTCTCCAAAGCTTACATTTTAACTTTAGAAAGAAGAAATTCAATCACTCAATAGAAAGGAAACCTCAATAGTTTAACTTTAAAAAGATTACAAGAATAAAATGGTAAAAAAAAAATAAAATAAAAGCTTAAAAAAAAGGTTGATTTCTGTTTCTGTTTAATTAAAAATGATTTGTGTTGCATCTTATTGTTAAAAATGTTGCTTTTTAGGCCTGAATAAACCTACCTGCAGGTCTTCACTGTTCTTAACTTTTTATGTGAGCACTGGATTTTTGGCAGTTGCAGCCTAACACCATCCATCTCAATATGATCCTGAAGCTGTGAGCCTTTAAATAAACTTGCTTTTGTTCTGCTTTTTTGTGGTCCAAATGATTTATTTGTTTTACAAATATTTTTGCTTTTCTTCTATTTTATTATCGAATTCATGCAAAAAGAACTTTGAATTGTCCATGTACTGAATTGTGCTATACAGATGAAATTGCCTTGCCTTGTCTTGCCTATGAAGCTGAAATGCAAACCTGTCTGATTTCCCTGAGATCATGAGGATTTAGGCGCCTGGGACGAAAAGTTACAGCAAACATCATAAAAACCAAATATGGAAACAAGGGGGAAGTGAAAGACAAAGGGAGGCAGAGAGATAAGAGTTTGTGAACAGGGCTAAACAGAAAAATAAACACCATGGTTCTCTTCTCCTATTTTCAGGTCATCTTCTGTAAATCCAGTCACTGGAAAATGTCAGCCATAAATTAATAACTGATAGGACAGCATAAATTAGCTTCTAAAAGTGATATAAAAAAATCAGTTACTAAATATTTTTCTTTCAATTTGTCCTCCTCATTGCAGACCAAGTGATTTCTCACACCTCATACATCATTATTGTTTGAAATGTTTTAGCCTATAACTAAGTATTTATACCCCTGGTAAAATTTGATTTAAACTTAAAATCAATAGTTAAATATATTACTTTAGAACAGCCCAGTCAGAACCCTGCCTTAAACCTAATCCAGGTTATTTGAAGGGAGGTAATGATTAGGGTGCTTCAAAGGAGGCCGCCCAACCTGAGTGACTTGGAGCTTAACGTCAGATACAAATGGTCAAAAATATCAGTGGAAACATGCAAAGCAAATAAAGAACAGTTTGACTGTTGTAAAACCAATAAAAATCTTTTTTTCATTAATAATTAAGAACAATATTTTTTTTTTTCTACATCCCATCTTTTTGAGAATTGTTTTTGAACTAAATGTGATTATATGAAATGATGCACTACAGGGGAATGTGAACCCCAATGATGAGGCAGATATGATCATGCTTAAACAGCAGAGTAATTAAAAACACACTCTGTGCTGCATGTCTAACTGTGAGTCTCCTGGCTTGGAGGATTTAAGCTACAGGCGGATAATCTCTTGCAGACACAAAAGAGATGACTGGGTCAGGCCTGGTGACAAGTGGGTCTAAGGTCGCCATTGAAAAACCCACCCAGGAGGATGTGGATCTTCAGAAGATCCGGCTTTCCTCCATTTCCTATGAGAAATTCTTATAACAATCTGTCATAAAACCTGAATCAGTTCACCTTTTCTGGGTCTATATAAAGCAGGTCTGTAGAAGAATGTTAGACAAGATTTCGGATTTCCCTCATTTCAGCTTAGGGACAGAAACAAAGACTTGGTTCGGCTGGTTCGGCATGCTGCTCATATTCCAGCTCAACACCGTAGCTCAGGGATTTTTATTCATGTGACACAATAGCGCTCCTGTGAAATACCTGCTCCTGACCTGAACATCAGATCCAGTTCCTCATACACACACCTTCAACTTCCCATCAGCACTGCCACTCCCAGAGAATAAACCCTGCTTGGTTTTGATAACCTGAGCTGGATTCTTATTTTATGCAGGAGGAAAAGTCAGGAGACACCCATCAAATATTTCCTGCGTATTGTTCAGAGGGGGGCAAAAGTGTGGTCCTGAGACAGTTTGCCAGTACCTTTAGCTGCAGTGCATGAAGGAAGCTCCAGATTAAAGTCTGCAAGCTGAGCAGGAGATGAAATGACATGTTTGCTGCAGAGTAATGAGGAGAAAGCTGAGGTCAAAGGCAGGAACTCAATAAAGACTGCTCTGTTAAACGAACTCATCCAACAGCTCTAATTACTGCACATATGTCTCATCAAATCGTATAAACTGATTTACGATCGTCTCCTTTTTAAAAGTAATAGCCGCCTGAAGGTCTGCACATCAAAGAGGCTCAGTTGACATTGGTTCAGCAGGAGGATCCTCACAGAACAGAAAGGAGAGCTTTTATTTCCACCAACGGTACAGTAGGTCATCCTGCTGAGTGTCCTGATCAGAAATGACACCCAGGATGCTTCGAACCGGCGAGGTAAAAGCTGGGAAATATGAGGAAGTTCGGATTATAATGATGTTGAAGTTGGCATGGAGTTATTGTAAAAATGACAGAAATGTTTTTATAAGTAATATAAATCCAAGCATTATTAGAAAGTGTGTTCTATGTAGGTTTCCCTTACATGTTTCCCAACATGATTGGTTGGTGATGCTACATGTTCTAAAAGGTCATCTGATTTGTGTCTAACTAAGTCTGACCTCCTTCCCTCTGATTAATGTTTATTAGGTCTTAGTCCTAGTAAAGCCCTTTCATGTTTTGTCTGTATAAAAGGTGCTCTATCAATAAAGTTGAATTGTTTGTTTGAATAAATTGAGTTAAAAGGAGTCAAAACCCAGTGTATCCAGTCGTGCTTTCCTCAACTTTTTATGGTCAGTCAGATTTAGGTGGTTTGCAAATTGCAATGCATCAAACAAGATGTAAAGTCTAAATGTTATTATGTTGTTTAAAGCTACAGTGTGTAATAATTACAGGGATATACAGTCAGAAATGAAATATATTATACATAACTATGTTATTTATCATCATCTACGAGCTCAGCCTCTTAACCTTAATATCTGCGTTGCCTTAGAATTCGTTATTTATAATTACATAGGAGCGGGTCTTGCAGCCATGGAGGCAGACATCTTTGTGCTACGGCAGCGCAGAGTCAACAAACTAGCGATTGCGAGATCACCCATTACGCTCGAAAGTAACTACGGCAAGTTGAGAGAGATGAACTGAGACGGCACTGAACAATAGATGGCAGTATTATGCCTGAGAATACTATCTGTAAAATTATCTATGTAAACAAACCTCATCACTTGAGAAGGTAGGTGATGCGGACGTCGTGGAAGACATTTTGTCCCGTAACGCTCGCCGTACTGTTGGGGGGGGAGAAGCGGTGGGGGGGAGATGTTCATGTTGCTGCGGTCTGCAGTCTGGACGTTAGATGTCGCTAAAAATTAAACACTGTAGCTTTAAAGCTAAATTTGGATCAATTTTAAAATCAATCTATCTGGATATGATTGGACCAAAGACGAAATCTGATGCACTTTGGTTTACCTTGAATTAACCACTTTAACATTATTATTTCTTATCGGGACAAAACTCATTTTGATTTAGGGTAAAACAAAAGAAAAAAATTATGAACAGTAGGAGATAGCTGCTCCTCTCAGAGCCTTCCAAGGCAGAAAAACTATTCTGATATTCCAATCCAGAATCAAAATAAATTGTGTAAACAGAGAAATGAGAGCATCACAGCAAAGACGAAGCTCATGTTAACATTTTTTTTTCTTGGCAAAAGAAAATAATAGCTGTGAAGTAAACGTTAGTGAAAAGTAAAAAATTTTTCCTTTCTCTTATTTTCCCACTGTCATACCCAAATTTCCTTATTTGAAACAATAAAGGAATTCTTATTTATATTCTTATGATTGGCATTAACTGATGAAGTGACAGTAATAAACTCAGCGCAAAAATAAAAAATACAACATCCTTCAGAGTGGAAGTCATTACTGTGAGAAGAACACATCAGCTTAGTTTTATTCAGAAGCTGAAGAGTGTAGTTTAAAATGAAATATCCATCCAATCCAATTTTGTACCGCACTTTTCATTAAGAAAAATCTAATAACAGCTGGTTGAGACATGTCTGCTGTGGATTTATTCAGCAATGGAGAGCAAAGCATACAGCTAAAAGGGAAGGATAAGAGGAAAATGCTACAGCTTTTCTGTTTAATCCCTTGTAACTGGAAACTTCTGTCTTTCATGGAACATAATAGATTTTAAAAACTTCCAGTTAGGGAAGGTATCCTTGTTCTCTAGGGCACTGATTCCGGACATGCTAGACTTAAAACATTCCTAAGGATATTTGAGCCTATTTTTTTTTACTATTTTAGGTAAAGGTTTGATAAATTATAGATCTGGATTCTTTCCATAAACCGAGACTAAATTCTAGCATAAGTTCTCTGGATGCTTGGCTAAATATTTCACCAGGAGCTGCATTAGTCAGAAAAGGCTGAGAATCTGTGTAGAGGTAATGCTAACTCTGCTAATCAGGTTTGTCACATAGGATGCTAGAAACGGTTCAAAATACGAGCTAAATTGTTTCCTCTTTCTTCAATAAAACCCTTTTAACTGTTCTTTCAGACTCTCGATGTGACATCACATCTGCTCCGGGAATGTAAAACTTCACCAACACTGGAGAACGGAAATTTCTGACATAACTCTGATTATTTTATCTTAAGTTATCAATCCAGAGATAAAGGCATGCTTTGAGACCATGTATAATGAGGACAAACTGTTGGAGAGATGCGAGAGTGATGTCAGGTCCTTTTATTTCACTTGATTGTGTCATTCTGCATTTTTTTTTTTTTTTTTTTTTGCAGACAGTCTTTAATTTAACCAGCTTCCTGTGCAGGAAGAAGTGGACGACAGAAATGACTTCTGTGCATGTGGGCAAACGGACGTCTTAAACTGCAACTCGGAGGTAACAGATGGCTCCCTAGAGTAAGAGCTCGCCTGCAGGGCTTCTGCACATATCATATCCAATTAAAGCTCCGCCAGCACATGCTTTCCAATTACAGGACAAGATTTACTGCCCCGAATCAGGCCTAATCCAACAGGAAGTTGCAGACACGCAGCCAGCGAGGGGAATAGGCCGCAGCAGAGACGGCAACAAGCGTGCGTGAAAAGTGGACTGAAAGACAATATTAGCCAGCAGGTGGGGTTGAAATGGGGAAGATAAGCAGATACAGGGAAGTTTAAAAGGACAGTGGAAGAGTATAAAATCCAGAAGGAGGAAGTATAGACAATCTTCCCATAAATAACTGAGAATCACCAGCGAAACAACCTACGTGTGCACCACCATAAGTCACATTCAACATAAAATTATCCCTGTATCTGTCTCTGAACTCCTTGGCAAGTCTCTCATGCTCTGACTTTGAGCCCATGATGACTGGTGGGCCAAACATGACACATGGAGTCATGATGCGGTGCATCGTTTAAAGTGCTCCCCTCCTCTATACATGATATTTATTATCAGGGGGCTCCACAAAGTACGGCGCCAGACTAAGAAAAGGAGGAGGAGGACCCTCAGGAGGTCTCCTCATCTGGACCTATTTACTGCTCCTTTTAGACACACACCTCCAGAGTAAAGGGGCTCTCCTCTGCCACTGCTGTTTAACAATTGGTATACAAGCAACAGCATGACAGCGAAGGAGACAAACATTCCCACCATATGAACAGGTCTGTTTTCACCTAAGAAGCTTTCAGAAACACTGCAAAATGAAAGAAAAATAGAAAACTATTGAGGGACTTGTAAGCTTAGTCAGAGAATGCACACTGAAGAGGTCTTTAAACCTCACCAAGCAAGCAGAGCTCCGCCGGGTTGTGAAGAGGCCAGAGAGAAAACTCTGGGGGAAGCCAAGCTTCAGGAGAGCCGGCTGTTTTTTATCCGATGCCTTTTCACTGGCATCTGTCCACCTTCAGAGGGCTTTGAGTCACGCTGAGGGAGCAGTGAGTCAGGTCCGTGACTATTTTTATGCAATCCTACCTAAGAATGTGAAGCTTTTACAATTAAAATCACACTTTCACACGGAACAAAATCTGATCTTTTTGGCCTTGATTTCTTAAATATTTAGTCAGAAAACTGAAAACAGTTTGAAACATATGGTACAGAAGTGAATAACTTTAGGGTTTGTTCATTTAGTAAACAAAGTAAGTTATGGATATTTAAATTTAAAAAAAGTAATATCTCTCAACAAAAACTAGTTAATTAGAAAAAAAAGATAAAGATAGATATTTAGCCGCCATATTTCCCAAATATACTGCAAAACAAATGTTGACCGGAAGAATTTCTTTGTCCAAAAGGTATTAACTATCACCCAGAAAATAGAAATCTGCATTTTTTCAATTTAATTTTATTCTATGTTTTAATTTACTGATTGATAATATATGATGATCAATTATATATATAGATCAATTTCATCTGAATTGCTTTTTTATCAATCACCATCATATTTACTGTACAATTCCTTTACAGAGTTCAAACAGAGATCAAACATCTTCTTTAATTTGAAAATGCTTAAATTAGAACATGAAACTGTCAAAAAATAAATAAATGAAATGTATTTCATCTAATAAATGTGTATCTAATAAAGCTGACGTCACAAATAAAAATTAAATTATTGCAGAGGAAACAGTAGATATTTCTGATTTGACATTTTGAAATAAAACATTTTCTCATAACAGACTTTGATGTTATAACTAATATCTAAAACAGCTATAACTTCATCTGGAGTATTAGTAGAAAAACTTAACTCACCTTTGGCGACATTTCCAAAGAGAAAAAGCAGAATCAGGCAGCGTGGAAACATATTTTAGCTCAGAGGGGCTCTGCTTTGTGAAAGGAGGCGGTGGTTAGAGGAGCTCCCCGCTCCGCTTGTTAATATAACGGTGCTGAAAGGAGGAGTCTCCTCCAGGTGGAAACTACAGGGGAGCTCTGAGGAGGACTCAGCGCCGCATCTGATTGGCTGACTCTCCTGTCACTCGTCATTACTGCGCTGAAGCCTCGAAGCCCCGCCCACATCAGGGAGTAGATATGTGGCTGTAAACCTGGACTTATGAAGACTGTCTCAACCAATAAACTCTATTTTTAGCTCAGCGTTTAGATGCAAATAGAGAGACTGTCCTGGAAAAGATAGACAATGAGTTAACTTAAAGCCTTTAATTGTTTTTTTGTTTTTTTTTTAACAGAATCTAGGTAATCTTTATTTTTGGCTAAACCTCTTTAAAACAAAGGCTTTGACGTCACTGGTTTAATAGCACAATGCTCTAAAATAGCTATATTTCATATATTTTGTTAGTTGAAAAAATTAAATCAGTATTTATTTATTTATTTTTTATTTGCTTCGTTGTGATAGTGGATGTCATTTTGGTTCTCGGCTGGTGGTGGAAGGTGGTTGGTGGTTACGCTTTTGGAGAACTGGAGGTTAACCCAGGCTACAGCTCACGCTAGCACTATTACTGGGCCAGAGGCATAGCCAGAACATTTTTAGAAGGGTGGCCAGGCAATAACCAATGTACACTGAGGGGTGGCCGCAAGTAGATAGGCACCAAAACCACCAAATAAAAAAGCAAAACATCCATATTTTCTAAATAAAGACAAATTATAATTCATTCAGTTTTGAGTTCTGGAGCGAACATCTTTTCCTTTGTCATTACTTACCTACTTTTATCAGTAATCATTCTCCATAAAATTGCTATTTATATGTACTAATATCTACATAAATTGATTATTTAATACATTTTTATTAAAATAGTTATTTATCTATGATTTCACTGAAGACTCCTAGATCACTTGCAGAGACCCCATAAAACACAAAATCTATTTCTGCTTGAATTCTGTATTTATCATCTTTAATATTAATATATTGATGTGGATCATTTACCACAGTGTTTTTTTCTTGTTTTCTTGTGTTTTTTTTCTTTCCTTTATTTAACCAGGTAAACCCTGTTGAGATCTGGATCTTATTTTCAAGGGGGACCTGGGCAGAGATCTGCAATACACTGCAACCTGGTTACAAAAATAAAACCAATTAATACATATGCACAAATATAAAACAATAAAAACAATTTAAAAGCAGTGACACTGTTTCAAAGAAGCTTGTTGTCTATCTTTAAGAACCGCTCGAAATTAGTCCAATGAAATAGTGTGCGACATCTTGAGTTCAGACTGGAGCTGATTCCACGCTGCAGTGCCAACACACCGAATGCTTTTTTTCCTTTATTAGTTCAAACATGTAGAGGAATAAAGACATTTGGGCGTACATTTATTGTTAAGTAATTGTTAATATGTGAAAAATTTAAATGTTTTGAGTATTACTGTTGCCACCATCTGTATTAGAGTGAAATAAATGGTAGGGGTCGCCAATGATTGACTAAGGGTGGCCATGGCCACCCCTGCCCCCCCATCTAGCTCTGCCCCTGTACTGGGCATCTACACCTGTTAGATAGAGCTCTCATATGAGAGACCAGAAACACCACCAGTTCAGCCCTGACAGTCTACCGCAAACTTAAAAAGAAAATGCTGGCGCTCTGCTCCAGGGCAAAACTGCATCTTTTATTTGTTGGGTAAATCCCTTCATCTTTTTCCTTGAGGTGCAGGATCAACCCGATTTTTCTGTTTTCTGGATTTCAGGTTCAGTGAAGTAGGTTTCTATTAGTTTTCCCCACTACAGCTTGATCAGGCAGTGAAACAAGACAGCAGCTTAGCTTTAAATTAATAAAAGTTCTTGGCCTTCAAACAAGTATGTCTAAATAATTCTGGGGAATGCAATGTAAACGTGAGGCTTTTTTAGTATGAAACCTAACTGTCTAAGAAAGCACAGACTCATTTATATATAAAAAAGGGAAAAAAAAGCTGCTGTTCCTGTGCACCATTAAATAGATGTAGCCATTCATGACAATCAGTTTTGGCAGGATGAGTTCAGAGACCCTTATCCAGCATCCTATTAAATTGGTCACATTGTTATGTAACCTATAGCATCAACGTATGTACATAGTTTTGTTTGCTGCTTGACTCATACTCAGGTTATTTAAAAGTTTTATTCCAAACATGCAAAACTTTTATTCCTGCTTATCATTTTTTTTCTTGCTTTTAATCGTTTTTTTATACTTTACATCCTTGTTGAAAACGTCTTATTTGTAACAAGCGGAACAGTTTAGAGAGAAGGCATCTTCTGGAAACGCATAAAGGTCTACGAATGGAGAGTAAAAATAAAAAGGCATGCCTAAAAACTTTAGTAATGGAAAGGTCCAAGGTTTAGTAAATGCAGATTGGCATGGGAACCAATAAAATACACTTTAATGTCATTGTCTGTTTGATGAAAAGGCAATATTTATTTGCTTCTGGAGAAGCAAGTGGATTTCCACACTAAACCCTCTCCTTGTGGGCAGTTTTTCTGTTTAGATGCAGATAAAAATGGAAAAGCTCATACATTTGTTTACTGTGAGTAAAAATAAACACTGATAAAGACAAACTTGTGTGACTTCATGGGAAAACTGTCTAATTTAAAAAAGGACTTGTTGACCTTCATAAGTAATCTTGATCCAGATGAATGAAGGTGAAACAGTTATACACAAGTATACAGGCCATGGGGAGATTTCAAATCATTCTACAGACTTTGGTATTGTGTTGCAGAATAAGTTTAAAACCAAGGATTTAAGCAAAATTCTGCTTATATAGGCTGAGGCTGGTAAAAGGCTAACGCTATCCACAGTAAAAAAAAAAGTCCTTTAATGACATGGGCTGGAAGGCAAGGATGAAGCCATGACACCAAAAACAATGTAACAATGATAATATTAAAATTCAGAAAGAAAAAAAACATTTTTATAGATTCCATATTGGCATTGATGTATTTTGGGGGGGGAGTTATCAAGCCCAGGAACAAGGTTCCAACTAAGAAGCACGGAGGTGACAGCATTATGCTGTGGGTATGTAGAAAATGTGAGGAAAATCTGAAGCAATATATCAGAAAGTCGACCAAGAAGTTAAAGTTTGTTCACACCAGTTTTCTAAATGGGCAACATCCCTAAGCATGAAGCATGAATGTACCATACGGAGGTAAAAGTAAATGTTTTGGAGAAGCCATTACGAACCCCTGACCAAATCAAAAAGCTGAACCTAAGTCATATATTAGACCCCTTTACTAAAAAAGAAGGAAATATCTGTAATTTCTAACTGATTAGTATTCTGTTTATTAAATAAAATGATTTTTGCAAGAACATTTTGTTTCTTAGACCAAGTCTTATGTTTAGGCTAAAAAGCTTGCTTCATTTTAGTTTTCCAGTTCTATTTTCATTCTCTAGATGGTGACTAAAAAAACCCACAGTGACTCAATGAAAAAAATAATAATTTTCTTAGAACACTCATTCTATTACCCAAACTCATGTTATTTTTAAGAGACTCACAACTTTTGCTGCTCACACCAAAATAGACACCCATGGTGAAACCGAGTCCACCAGCACTAATGTTTCACCTGTAATATAATTAAAATTATCAAAATTCTTTTCACTAGTAACGAAATAAGCTTTTTTTCATATTTCTAAAAATAGAAACATATTTGATCATCAGTAACAGGAAGGTAATAGTCAAACATCCCTCCCTATCAGTCATTATCAGAACCTCATCACAAGCACTCATTAACTTTCAGCTTGGAAATAAAAAAAACAGCGTTCAAACAAATGCACAGTGTTAATCCTTAAAAAGAGAAGTGTTCCAGTATTTAAAGGTTGGAAATGGTTTATTGTTTGATGATTGGGTTCATTGTTCTCTGTTTGTCGCATGCGAGTTAAAACTGGGAAATGACTATCCTTAAAGGTGTGGCATTTGATTTACATTACATTATCATGACAAAACTGACTCAGTTTATAATGTTTGATTTTTGTGGAGAACAGGTCATGCTGATCATATAGCTTCTGATAATCCATGATTTACTTTGGTTGTACAAGAATGATAAATATGTTTTCCCTTTGTAGTTGTGTAAATGAACTATGCTATTCAGAGGTAGTTGAAATGTACAGCTTAAACCAGATATTTTTATACCTTATTTGAAGTGACCCATTGTTCCTCACTGTCTGACATTTAACTTAACCAGAAGTTTTCTGTTTCAAGTAAGTTGGGAGTTTAACTGATTAAAGAAAATGATTTACTCTCTTTTAATCCAGATGTTTCCATGTATTTTTCCGCAAGAATAGGATTTATCAATCTATGACTGAGGTGAAACACATTTTAGTTCTTCTACATTTCCTTAGATCTTAAAATCGGTTGGAGATCAGGGATATGTGATGGCATAATGTTGACTCTGCTGTTTTAAAGCCAATCCCTAAAGGATTCTGTGTATTACAATATCATCAGCAGCTGTAAAGGTTTAAAACTATATATCAAACATAGGCCTTTGTAATAATATAACATAGCAAAATAAAAGTCAGGAGTTTTGTGATAAACAAGATTATGCATTCACTGCCAGTGGGTCAAATGCACCCAACTGACGCATAGCTCTGCCACAGGAGAGAAGCTAAAATTCCAAATATTGGTGTCATGGATGTTTGTTTTTTTTTTAAGTTCCAGAAACACAAAGCTAAACTGATAATTGCAACGACTCAACCGTATTCTTTAGTTTGAAACTTTTTTTTCTTAATGTAACAATGTTCACTTCATTTTACTGTGGTCAGTTTCATCTTTACAAAAATATATCCGAAAAATAAGATAATTGTCTTGAGTGCATCCACGAACTGTAATCTGCCTTTTTAGTTTGCAATTAAAGTAATGACTTCTTCCTTACTGAGCGGCCTTTCAGTCTGTGTTTGTTTGGGACGTCTTATTGCAAATAATGACAACCCCTGACC